ATATGGCTGTTTTAGAGGAATGAAAAAAAAATCATATTTCAATACATCGTAAACCCAAATTCTACTATAGGTAGTTCTAATTTCTATAATAAAGTATGATTTATCGCAGTAACGAATGAAGGCTACACGAGAATTTATTATACACGGTGACGAGAGACGACAGTTATAAAATTTCATCGCGATTTCCCCGAGTCTGATATTTTGGAGCGTGCGTCATTATGGTTAAAAATAAAATGATATCAAATGTTGCTAACAAAAATAAACTCTTCTGTAGCTTTCCCGTGACGCGCGCGAAAGATACCCGCTAAGCTGCTCTTTCATTTTAAATGTATCTCTGTCATTTGAGGGTTATGTAGTCAGGCGGAGAATTTATAATATATTCTGCTTGAAATTGACTCAAGTATATGAAGGGTACTTTTTCTATATTGTACACAAACTTATGGAAATAGGATAAATTTTATACCATTTAAATTATTGACCTCAAAAATGTTAAACAAATCAAAATAACTTACAATAACATCTTTATTTTAAAATTATAATATATCATAATTATATTAAATTTCGATGTCGTTAGAAAAAACTTTTGCAAGCTTTACATAAGCTGTAATATCTAAAACTATAAACACGGAAATTTTACATTTTGGCCAATTGGCCTGTAAATGAAAACTGTTATTGTTCTAGATCACGTATGCTTATCCGTGAATATCGATAAAATAGCCTTGACGGGAAGCTTAAACAATTGATATTTAAATACCCAATCCCGAATCACACAAAATGTTGGTGATTGGATCAATGTAATGCCAAATTATGGCGCAGCGGTGGTATTTGACAACTGTAATATAACATTAAATTCAAATTCAAATTCAAATATCTTTATTTAATATAGAACACTACCTCCGGTTGGGAAAAGAAAAGCCACTGACTGACCTGAGAAGAACCGACGAAAAGAAACTCATTGGGACATTGTTTTTTAATTACTATTAATCCCGCTACCTTTTCTACCGAAAGATCCCGGAGCGATCAATTCATTTCCAGGGTATGTTATGATTTAGATAATGACTAATATTATAATAACCTTTAACACACAAACGTTCCTTTACACTTTTTTGAATTTATCAATTGATACATTGTGAACGTTTTCTGGGATTTTGTTGTAAAAGTGTATACATTGTCCCATAAAAGAATTACTTATTCTACGCAGTCTAGTTAATTAATTTATGTTTATTACTAGTATTTATATAATGCACCTTAATAATAATAAATCAAATTAAACACAACGTTATCTAGGTCTAAACTAAGTAACGCTATAGTTACAGCTAATCAAACTCAAAGATATTTTATACTGTAAATATAAAATATGCAGACACTAGTAAATACTTTTTTATCACACAATATTTTTGCACATTAACGTTGTCTAATAAACTAGTATTTGGACATAAAAATTAACGTCTGGTTGACGTCACTGAACATAAAGCGACAATCATTTCATAGAAACATTAAAGATGGGTATTTAATAGAACTTTAGTCTCCCTAAGTCAGGCAAGTTTTTGTTTAATCCGTTCACGTATCTGTCTACGCGGACTACATACGGTTGTTTCAGTTAATCGTTGTTCTAGTTCCAAGCTGGCGCGTTACCCTAATCCCTATAGCTACGATCTAAATCTTAATTAGAACGCAACACGCGCAATTTAATTTGTCAGTACATATTGAATTAAATGGATGTCCTGTAGTTCAGTCTAAGGTTTACTTTCCTTACTTAATTATATACTATTTTTTGTATAATGTCGATGATATTTTTGAACGTGTCTTCCGTATTGTAAGTGGGTGGTCTGCGATAATATTTGTTTTAAACAAAACTTCAGCACTTATTTCATAATTATAATTATTGCTTAATAAGTCACATTTGTAGCATTTAGAAATAATAACATTATAATTTAGCTTTGCAAAACACATTTACTAAAATTATCAGTGTACGAATATAAAATCGATTGATAAAAGATCTCGCGGGTTGAAGTTTACGCGGGTGAACGCAGCTGTCCAACAGTAATTTGGCAACAAAACAGTTTTATAAAATGCGATTTTTATTTTCACAAGCGTGGAGTTGTTAATTTTAATCGCCAAGAAGTCTTGGCAGTTGTCTCAAAGACCCGTGCGTTTTATTGCGTTCTTCTAGATTTTAGCGTTTTATTAATTAGCTACCAAACCACCACTGGGACATGGGTTGCTCTTGCAACGAGGACAAAATGAACGTCATTTCATTACCATTCATCAGATTACATCTGGAGAGGTCAGAAATAGAATAGTCGACGTAATAAATATCACAGAAATGACATGAAGTCATTTGTAATGCTGGCGAGCCAATCAAAATTGTTTGATAAGAAATAAAAAGGTAATTAAAACAGTTGTGGACAAAAAATGCAACTTTTAATATCATTCGCTATAATCATATCTAATTATTGATCCTTAAGGTCTTACTGGTCTGCGAAAAAGAGAAAAGCTTTGCCTGAAAAATACCTGAATGCTACCACGTAAGTTGGTAATGCGGTATAAATGGTTTTCGCTTTACAAAAAACTGAATTTAATAATATTTTGCAATTGTTTGTAGTAATTACTATCTTTAATAAAACTACTCATTTTTAGATTCTACCTTTAATCATTACATTTGTATTGATTTATTATACTTGGCAAATATACGATATAGTACACACGCGCCTTCACATTTGATTATAACATTAAATTATTGGTAAAACACTTGTCCCAGATGTCAATACTATGTGGTTTGTGTTATACTTATATCACTGTCGAAAGCTAAGGGACAAATAAACTCTTGTTTTCATTAATAAAACTTTATACTCGTTGGCGAGTTTAAAAATAGGACTTTTGACCCACATAGCCTACAAATATACACGAATCCAACTGTTTAAAACATTGATGAACTGTATTACTCATCGTCTGTTACTCCGAATTTCTGGAGAATTTTCCTCATGATATTGAACTATACAATGACGATAGCACGCTCAATCTGATACCACGGGACGTTGGCAGTAATCCAAGCGTGTTGCCACGCTACCACTCGTCCAAACAACCTGCCCGTTGCCACGCTTCGCTTAATAATAAACAATCTTTAATCTTAGTAAGTTAATGGGCCATTTCGATACCCAGATGTTTAAAACTGCGTTATGAAATGTATCGTAATTACATTCGATATCTGTATGTATTGACAAACATACAGTCCAGTTTCGTTTAAATAATAATTACAATTGGAGTAGATAAGCTTTTACTAGGCTACATCGCTGGTACTATATGTCAATAGTCAATTACAATTTGTAAGTTAAATAAAAGTTTCTCTGTCTACTAATATGTACTGGCGTGGTTTAAAATGTGTTCTGATTCCGCCACCGTCACGATGAAGAGTTTCTTGACAGCTGGATGCTTTCATTTCCGACATTTACATGTAGAATAATATTATTATTTCATTAGAGCTTCTATCTTTGTATGTTGTTCGCTTAAGTTTATTTGTTGTAATATTTTCAAATTACTTTCTATATTTCTGATCAAAGATCAAATTCCAACCAACACTGTTTTTATATCTTCAGGTGCCACGCCCTAAGTAGTAAATTCTTTTGCTATTCTCAGCCTACAACTGCCTAATTAAACCCACACCGGGAGTTGGAAGTGAATTTATTATGTGAAGACCGTGTCTGTAAAATTTATGAAGTCAGACTCAATCGTGCTTTTGGATTGAGGCCAATAATGAGCTTGCGCTTTTTCTTCGATGCCATGTAAACAATACGAGATAAATATTGCGAGCGATTCTTTATTTTGTACAAAACTTTTTTATTTTTTAAGAATACAAACTTACCGGCTATCTGTTCTGGTGGCAGCTCGTCAGCCTATAAGAATAAAAATGGAATATTTTTTATGTGAAGAAATCAACGATATTTATAAATATAATTATAAAGCAACAGAGGATGAAGTTAAATTGATGTTTCGGTTATGGGAAAATTTTCAAATGAGAAACGGGCACTGTAGTAAGATGTAATAAATTTATTTTACGTGCAATTGAAACTAAAATAGAATCTTTGGCTGTGCCTGCTTTCAACATCGTCTCTAATAAGTATTACCATGAAGTCGTTTCGTATACATAAAAGTATTTAAAACACATTTCTTTTCAAAACCTCAACGCACTTGAATCGCATAATTTGGTTATAATTAAAATCTTTCGAGTAAACAAAAAGTCTATTGCCTTGTCTATTGCATTGTATATTACTTGAATCTAAAGTGGGTATTTTTGTAAAACAAATTTTATTTATTAGCTAAAATAATAAGAAAACAAATCAATTAAATGTTTATCAGTATACTGTATTCCATATAGCATGCCATATAGAGATGAAAATACGAAATAATTATATATAGGATTTGATAAACAGGTAAAGACCAAAATATTTCATCTTATAATTATTAAAATATGGAATTGTACCATTCGTTCCTTAAAAGCATACAAAATCAGTTCACTAATAGCATTAATTGTTTGTTCCCGCACTAAACAAATTATATATTTTTTTAATTCAATTATTATTAAAAGCAAATACAATCTGTTATTACCTGTTTACGTGTTAAATGTAGAGATGTTAATTCTTTAAAGCTTTAAATAATTACATTGTAAAGTGCCAATGTAAGAAAAATATGTTTAATAGGTATCTCCTCAATTCAGCAGCAGGTATTTTTTTTAATTCAATTTATATTAGTTAGGCAGTATTTACAAAGACAGAAATCTGTAAAGTCAAATTAAGTACACCATCGCAAACTTTCTCTTCTTTTTAATTAAAAAAATATTCCGGAATATTTTTCTATGGAACATAGAATAGTGACACCTACCCAGTCTTCTGTGTCCAGAACCATGTTTAATATCACTAGTTAGCACTGTGAGACGCACAACACGACTGGCAACGAAAATGCTGATGCTAACGTTCAGTGTTATTTTCTGCTTCTTTACGAGTATGGCCTTTCGGCTACTTTCATATAAAATAACGGGCGGCGGGGCGGGCGTGCGGCGGGGGGTGCGCGCGAGTCCTCACCTTCCTGCGCCAGCGCCGACCAATCGCGCGGGGCCCAAACGGCAGGATGCAGACGTATTTTTAGTCGGAAACGTGGTCAGGAACAACGTAAACACGCGGGGCTTGCTGTGCCGTAATCGCCCGCCCTGCCCTCCGCCGCCGGTGGACGCTGTGCCATTTAACAAGAATGCTCGGGTTAATACCGTTCCTCGTATAGCCGCTTTTGATTTACATTTACGGACGGAGCTTTGTTAATTCGATTTCTTTGCGGTCAATTTCTGCATGAAATCATAATGTGTGTTTCGCTTTCAGTGTTTGTTAAGCAATCAATCGACGGTTTCATCTGACGTGAATTTTCCATTCGAACAATATAAGTACCATAGATTTTCGCGTTTGAAAATTTATGAAATTATTCTTTAATTCCCCTCTTGTACAATGTAAATGAAGGTATATCTATTATGACAATATATATGCGAAGAGAATACGTAGTTACTTCATTATTCATGAAGTATTAAAAAATCAAAACACTAAGCCTTTTTAAGCCAACTAAGATTCATTGTATTTCGTAATATAAACTTTAAAATTATTAGTATAGTTTAGGGCTTATTTTAAAATTATTTTCTGTTTATTTAATTCCCGTTGCGATGCCTACAAATGTGTTTTGTGGTTGTAATTTTTTGGGTAAATTATTCTGAATTCCATTATTCGGCTGTTCCTAAAACAATAATCGTGTGCACAACGATATCAAATTAGATTCTACGAAATTTACGGCAGTGGCTATTTTAATTCTAATTCGGCTTACGTTTACAAAATTTGCAGACATTGTTTTTTTCATTGTAAACGTACCGAACGTACAACCTGTCTGCAGACCATGTGTAACATTACTTCAAACAGTATGTGACGCCAACGTTTGAAATGCAACAAGCTAATCGATCATCACAGCGGGATGTGTCGGTCTATTGTATATCTATGTATGTATATATATATGAAGAAATTGGCTACAGTTTAAAAAAAGTAGTGTATGCATACATTTTTTTAAATAATGAAAAGATATAGTAATTTTAATTATATACGGACAACACAAAATTGTAATTGGTAGAAACCAAACTCGAGTGGTTTTCTGCTTTCTTCCCTCACTAATGAGGGTCGTGAACGTAAATGATCTTTCTCCATCTACCTTCTGTCCTGCGCCAGTTCAAGACCGTTGTAGAGTTTCTCCTGTTGCTTCTACAATACTTTTAGTCCATTGTGTTGGAATTCTCTCACTGGAATCTTCCTCTGCATCTGTCCCATGATCAACGGCTTTTCCAATTCCTTTATAAGACCAAAGAAGCACGCTGTCACATATACAGTGGAGTATTATTATACGAAATTAATTGTATATATTTTTTATTATTATCTCATTAAACTAGATCAATAAATCAAAACTAAAAGCTATTGATACAGACCTACTTAACTAGAAAATTGTATTTCATTAAAATTAGCGATAAAATCAATAAAAAGTTGGTAGAGCTGTACAATATATACCTAAATAATAATCCTTTTAATAAGTTGACAAGAATTATATGTATATCACTCAAAGCTTTTAGAAGATTGAGTTTGATTTATGCCTACTCGGGGAACCATCAACGTTCATGCAGTCCTGCCCTTAGCAATTTTCCGTAGTACAAATACATCGTAATCTGTTCAAGACAGAACATTAATCATTCGTCTCATACGTCATTCTCTGAGTGCCGCTGGTAGAACAAGCGGAAAATTGGCACCGCAGTCTCATATGGTAAGGAATAACGTACTATTTCACCGCAGTTCATTGATCTCATTGTTCGTCCATTTTGTCTCTTAATTTAAGGGCCGTATAAAAGATACAAATAAGCACCGTTCGATTTTGATTATCGATGAACTTAATTTGGTTTTAAGTTTTAACCAATTTGACAGAAACAGAATGAAACACTGAAAAATTATCTGTTTTATTTAAGTAAAGTAAAGCATAATATGTAGGTATGCTTTACTTTACTTAATTAACAAACGTTATCGTTTGTTAATGAAACTAGAATTTTTAAGTATATTATAACCGCATATCATAAAGAGATATTTCATCTAGTTGAATTAATTAAATTAATTAATATATTGAATAAGATGCATCAGGGTACCTAGTAAAAATATTCTATCTTTTATACACAATTTTGTCTTGGTATAATATGGAAAAATTCCCGATTACCCAGAGGGTTTAGGTGGCGGTTCGTTTGGTATAATATTTAAAAAAAAATCGTTTACGTAATTATAACGTGCTATCTTTAGAAACAGGAAAAGAAAAAAATTTATGAAGCTCTAAACTGATTTAAATTTCATCCCCAATTTTTATTGAAAAATGTTCGTATAAACATATTTACGATCACAATTTCACAAAAAATGTTTTTGGCTTTGAAAGTGTTATAAAAATTTGTTTTTATCCATCCCACTTCTTGCTATACACAGACATAACATAACAGTACAATGGGTGAGTGCCAATACAAACGAATGGAACAATAATTTATCCCAATTTATACGAAGATGCCAAATAAAATCCTCGTGTGGTTTTTTACCAGCGCGGTAAATAGGACAGATCATAAACAATTTTCGAGAAGTTACACGACTCATTTATTACGACTACCTTTTTGTCCTGTTTTATTTTATAGCTTACTAACATTTTTTAATTTGAGCTGTGAAAGAAATTATGGCATCATAAATTACGTCTAATATAAAAAATAAAAAATTTTTCGCGTATTTTAATGCGCTGAAAAACCTTAAGTAATCAAATCCAGGGTTAGCTTGATCGAAAATTGTAAAATTATCTACAAACAATTATAAATTAAAATCAAAGTAATAATTAGCTTTTATATTGCAGATTAGATATTACATATTATATTGCAGATCCAGAAAATTTATGAATTCAAAGCAGTTATAGTATTTTTACGTTTGATGTAGACATTTTGGTAATGATTTAAAACGATAATAGAAATATACTAATGGAGCTCCTTTAAGGTACATGTCTTATAATCGTCTTAATTTCGTTTAAAAATAGTGCAATTAGAAACAAAAATATGCGAATTAGATGGATTCCTAAACTACGCGCACTCACCGACACCCACACTCTGTCTCGTTTGTTTACAGAATTCTGCACGGCTGTAAAATAATATGTTTTAACTTGAAATAAATGCTCGAGCGTAGCTATAGCCCAGTTGTTTTATTGTGTCGGGTAAGGCTGCCAGTTTATAGTAACTGCACATTTGGATGACCGCTCCAATAAAGAATAAACATAATTGTAATCATTAGTTATGAATATCAATGATATCTGTTTCTATTCACAAGGTCGAAATCAAACAATTTAGATTAAATTCATAAAAAAATTCTCTCATTTGCTCCACAATTATTTTCTTTGAAAAAGAAACTCGCAATATAAGAAGATTAAATCTACACGAAGAGGATGTAACGCATCAGCTTATTAAAATGCTTTATGCATTTAGAATTATCTTATGAAAAAGAAGCTTGCAAGAAGTTGGGTATAGAGTTAGATATATCTTAATTATTGAAGTTATACTCCATTTGGAGCATTTGGAAAAAATTATGAGATTAAATTTTTACGATACGCACACACTACAACCCCCAAAAATGGTTGTAATGTTTGTTAAAATGTAATAACACAGTACGGTGCTAGAATGTAAGTCACGGTATTACCATATCAACCAATAACAAATTTTTGACATTTACTTTTAGTTCAAAATTATAACCGTTATCAATTGAATTTTATGTAATTTCACGAACAAAGAGTACTGGCAAAGGAGATAAAATTGTCAGTTATTTTTCTTTTTTTACGTATTTAAAAAAAATTATATAATATTTTGTTACGTATTTGTAAGTATTGTAAGTTTTTACACACGCTTTTTTCCTAAGTAGAGTTTTATTAAGAAATAGCGATAGGTTAATCGACAACTTTCATGGCCAGTACGCCACTCATTCGCATTTCATGAAAACAAAAATATGAAATACTATCATTGCTTGCTAATTTGCCGCGAAGATCTTAATGTAATTTTATGTCATAATATATATGAAACGGCAATAATAATGCAGGAAAACATTCTGTCAGTCAGGTATCATATTCCTCATTTATTTAGAATAGTTAATAGCACATTTAGTTTTAGACACAAGATATTTACGATCATTGCGACACTATTTTTCAACGTTTCGTTTTGTCGAGTGTATTTTGGGTTGAAAGCTGTGGTGGAATTATCCAATATAATACAGAATGTTTGGCAACCATAGTATATGATGCGGGGTTTTAGGTACGGCTTACAGTTGGTTGCCGAATAACCAGTTATAAATAGACCTTAGAGAACAAAGCATTAACAAATCCCTCTCGTATGTTTTCGATTTTTTAATGTCGATATCGCGGTCTACTCTGCGTGTTTTGTACGTCCGAAGATTTAAGAAGAATTCAATACACTGGTCTCTAATTTTATTACATCGACTGTACTCGAGGTGGGTGTGGTTGTTTTAAATTAATTGTAAACCGCTACATTAGCATAGTTCAAATTACATTCAAAAACATCAGTATTACTTGTTTTAAATGATCACTGAGTTGTTTTAAAATTATTCGTGTTAACATAAATTTCAACAAATATGTTTGCTTTTAGAAACTATTAGCATTTCACGCGTCAGGGGAAGGTGATTAATGAACTTTCTTGTAACTATAAATTATGTATACGATGATAATAAATATAAATACACTGTGTTGTATTTACGTTATTTTGGACTTTAAACATTTGGCTTTATGGGTAGTTAACCTTTCTCTTGCACCAGAGCGTGTGGGTTCGATCCCCACCACTGGAAAAATATTATATGATGAGCATATAGAGCTTTTCGAATGTCTGGGTATTTATATATGTATAATATGTATTTTTTTTACACAAGAAAAGTATGTTTAATTATGTTTATCAGTTATCCAGTACCAATAGTACAAGCGTTGCTGTGTTTGGGACTAGAGAACGTTGTGTAAAAATATTGTGTTCTAAAAATGATGAATAAACAAATTACTTCCTTAATTCCAGAAAAATATTTTAATTCATATCATAGTAATCTAAAAGTACCGCTTTTTAGTTTAATGCAACATTTAATTTCATGGTTGATTAAACAAATACAATTTTTTGCTTGATCTAAAAAAAGAAGTAGGCACTCAAGTACTTTCTTTTTTAGATTAAGCATATATTGTAATGTTTCCATTTTATAGTCTTGCTAAAGACTAAAACGGGCGGTTAATCATGGTCGTAGAGGATAGGAAAATGGGAAAATGGATGGGCAAAGCTTTCTCAACCGACTTCAAAAATGGAGGAGGTTCCCAATTCAACTGTATTTTTTTTTATATTTGTTACCTCAGAACTTTTGACTGAGAGAACCGATTTTGATGATTCTTTTTTTATTTGAACGCTGGTGCTTCCAATTTGTCACATATTTCATTGGTATTGAAACTTGGGTTCCGGAGATACTTAGGGAACTCCTGAAAATCAATTATAAAATGGAGCGAGATATTTAATGTCGGTTTTGTTTTTCGTTAATAATAAAATTGGCTTGTTTACGGGACGGATAGAAAGCAATAGAATGCTAATTTGTTGTTGTTATTATTGCTCCAATTACAGTACTATATTTTTATTACAGTACTTATAGAAAAAGGAACCGTGAACCTGTACCGCTCCCACTGTTACGTATAACTGGAAGTTTGTCTTTATAACCAGGTTCCTCTACGCCGATCCACCGCGTACCTAAAAGTTTGGTTTTAAGTTCTTCATAATATAGTTAGGTTAGGAATCCTTCTAACCGGTTAATATAATTATTTATTTATTTAATCTTTATTGCCAACCTTCAGTAAAACAAGGTAACAAAGGGCGGACTTTATGCCCAAAGGCATTCTCTACCAGTCAACCCAGGATGTGGTGAGAGTTTATTTTTATTATATTTAAAATACCTAATACCAAAGTAAAATAATACTTTCGAAAATTGTTTATTATAGAGCAGTAATTTTTAGACTAAAGTTTAATTAAACAGGTATAAATCACAAAAAATCAAAAGTACACAGAAAATGCTTAAAATATATGCTTTTTTTTCAGTTTTTATAAAAAAATAATAGGCAAGAGAGGATGACATATTAAAAAAATAATTTTTCATACGTGACAGTTGTGATTGCTCAGTTTCCGGGCGCTCGCTTCTTATATTCTTTAATATGGCGGAGGCAGCTTTAGAGTACACAAATGCAAGCACTGGGCAGAATCGGTAAAAAAGAGATAATGCTCTACAAGGGAGCGAGAAAGTTAGATGCAACTGTTACCATTCTGGAAGAATTTCTTTTTAGGTAGATTTTACTGTGTTAATTATAAAGAATTTGCCGGATCTATTGATTATAAAAGAGGCTATTTAGAATTGGACGATTTTATGTTTAAGTGCAGATAGTGTTGTGATTTGTGAGACAGACACTCCTTTGCGATATTGATGCTTTTATTATTTTAATATAAATCTTAAATTGTACAATAAGTATGCTTTGATAACTGCAGGGAAAGCAAGTATGAGTTGTGTTAAATGCAGAATTTTATGGCCTTTTTATATTATTCTCTTTTTGTCCAAAATCGAGGGAAACGTTGATTGAGTAATACTAAAACAATCTACTATTTGTATAATAAAAATATTTAAGAATGTTGAAGGTGTGGTTTTATTCGTACTCGTCTAATTCATAAATTATACATCAAAAAATTATTATGACAGTAGCGATTTGAATTAATGTTATAAATATTAAAATATGTATCATGTACGTTCTTAAAGTTAAATAAATGACAAAGTTCTATTGAGTAAATTTATCATTTCATATATTCCCGCCCTATGGGTTAGTTTTGTGGGCATCCGCTGGAGCGCTAGTTGTCCCCGTGTACGCATTTCAAATGTATGGAGTTGTCCTTCTTCTCGTGAGTCGTGAGAGTATATTATTTTTCTGTGGCCTCTAATCTCTACCACATCTGTATGTATACAAAGTCTGTGGTTTTGATTTTGACATGTTTCTCTGTTGTTTGTTTTGTTTATTTTCAGAAATTGGTTTAATTTTTATCAGTATATATGTCTTATCTATGATTTTTATTATGGACGCATAGGTACCTAATCTAATCTTTTAATAAGAAGCCCTTAAGAACCATTTTCTTTTTATCGTTAACGTTATTGTGTCATTGTCCTTATCATATTATGGACCGCGAATTGCTTTAGAAGAAGGAGAAGAAAAAGGCTTTGAGTTTTATTTACATGAAATAGTTATAAGCATGTTCTTTACAAAAATAAGTACAGTACTACTGTGTTTCTAGCTCAACATTGATTGATTTAGATGGTTAACTAATATATTTAATATGGAAAGCTACATTGTGATTTCTTTCATCGGTGAAGGTTCTTTTGGTCGTGTTTTTAAAGCAAAGCATAAAGAAACTGACGCAGTAGTGGCTTTAAAAGTTATACGAAAGGTATTTAACAATTTTCTGGTGACATTTAATATCTACCGTATATTTTATTGCATATTGTTAACCATGTTTTACAGAAAGGTCGTTCACTGAAAGATCTAAAGAACTTACGACTGGAATGTGATATTCAAAGGCAGTTAAATCATCCAAACATTATTCGTATGATTGATAGTTTTGACACGGAAACTGAACTTGTGGTTGTCACAGAATATGCAGAAAAAGAGTTACACAGTATATTAGCTAAAGAAGGATGCTTGAACGAAGATCAAGTTAAAAAAATCACTTGGGATTTAGTTTCGGCACTTTATTATTTACATTCACATAGAGTTTTGCACAGGTAGGTATATGATAAACTTTTGTTTTTGCTCAATATTTTAATTCACATTCTTTAAGGAAATTAGAAAAGTATGACAATTATCATACTTTTTATAATTTCCTTAAACATTGTGAATGTAAGAAATATGTTGAAGTCTAAGAAATATACAAAAGCTAAAGAACTCCCATAATGATCTTAATGTGATTTTTGTAATAATAAATCAGTTATAACTATACAGCGTGTCGTTACCATCGCTACAATAAATGAACACACGTCTAACGCTACATGCCAATAATCATAAAAAAATATTAATGTTAAACAAAATCCATAATTAAAAAAAAATATTTTAAATTTAATTTAATAAAACAAACTAATTAAGTAAAAGGAAACAAAATTTGTAACATCCTATACAACTCGCGCAACAGCGTCGTATTACAAGCCTCCTTTTAACAAAACATACTGATGTTTTGTCTCCTTCAAATTCATTCAACCCATTCATATGCTTTGTGACCTTTACAAATGAACTTTACGTTTTGCTTTTTTAGGTAAGGGTGTTCTAAAATTCTTTGTTTTGGAAAATTTAATAACTCTGTAAATATTGATGTTTAAAGAATTTAAATGTTTAATAAAAAAACTTATCCCCTATATGTGTGTTCATTTATTGTCGCGATGGTAACGACACGCTGTATAACTATGCTACTTACTACCTACTTGCTACCTGGCCCTTAGAGCGACTGCTCCTCTTACTCTACCCTTGGGCCGACACAGCTCACAAGTACCATAAATGTGGCTGCCATTTTCTGATATCATTAACTAAAATTTTTAAGAGAGTTATAAATAACCATAGAATCTTGATAATTTTTATATTGAAAAAAAAAAATAATGTATATTTATTTTTAAAACATTATGCACAAAAAATGTAAGCACAAAGGCAACAGAAGAAAAAGACAAAGGCTAAAAATATTCCATTGTAATTTTGCAGGGACTTGAAACCACAAAATGTGCTTCTGGATAGTTCAGGACGAGCGAAACTTTGTGATTTTGGCCTTGCGCGTATTATGACAAATTCTACACACATTTTAACTTCAATTAAAGGTACACCTCTGTATATGGCTCCTGAATTAATTGATGAAAAACCTTATGATCATCAGGTAAAGATATTAGACATATATATATATATATTTTAGAGCACCATGTTACAGAAATTCTAAGATATTGCACTGACTGTTCAACAATTATTAAAAACATTTTGAAAGAATAGGGATATTTTATGACTTCTCCAAAAGGTAAATTTTCACTGACATTGCCCTAAACATTGATATTGTCTTAAAACAAAAACTGATTATATCTCACACAAAACCATATTGCCACAACTGATAAAAAATAATTATGAGCCAGATGTTTCATTGAAGATATATTGAAAAAAAAAAGTGTATTTTTAATATTTTCTTTTTGTCAATTTCAATAAGAGTTATAAATCCCAAAGAAAATTTGTTAATATCATGACAATCAGCACAGAATTGAAGAATTCCTGTTGTATAGTAATAATATTTAATATTAGTAATAATTAAGTACTCCTTCTTTTGTTGACATATATTAATAATTAATTTTCAGGCAGACCTGTGGTCTTTGGGTTGTATAGTATATGAGCTAATGGCTGGTCAACCACCGTTTTGCACAATGTCCATATGGCAACTTGTGCGAATGATCCGGCATAAGCCCGTGCAGTGGCCTAGTTTTATCAGTGCTGAAGCACGGTCGTTTTTGCAAGTAAGTAAAGTCAGATATTATTTTAAAAAATACAATCAGAAATCTACAAATAATTATGGAGCTTATATGATAACCAGTATGAAAATAAGTTATTTAAATCTAATAAAAAAGTTATACATATTCTTTAATAATTACATATAAGTTAATAATTACTTAATATTTTAAAACTGCGTTTTTAGTCGAAGTATGTTAGAGTAAACCTATGTACGGTCTTCATTTATTATTTTGTTTATTTCAGGGCTTGCTTCATAAGGATCCCATAAAGAGGATGAGCTGGACAGAGATTTTGGAGCATCCATTTGTAGTTGGTCACATACTAATACTTCCTGAGGATGTGCAGAGTGAATCGCCATTTACAAAACCACTGACCCACAGTCAACAAGAGGCGAAGCAGCTTCAGCGAGATAAGATAAGCAGTAACGCCAAGTAATTATTTAAAGAATCAATACACACACATCAAATCAATGATCGGAGTGAGGAACAATGTCTAATGGACATTCATTTGCTTTACTTATTTTGTGGCCAGATAAAATGTGTAAAAACATTTCCTGAAATATTAATGAACTTGACTGACTGTCAATTGTCGATAGATAGTGTTAGCGCACCAATAATAAATTCAATACGTTTAACATCTGCCAACAGAAGTGCGAAATCTGACATCGGAAATAGTCATTTACTTGTCAGACTGTTGAGCTTCGATAGATGGTGTTGGCGCTCCAATCAAGACGAATTCTAAATTAATTTGATGACTTCGCAGCGCAGTTGCCAAGGTATTGGCTTCAGCGTCGGGGGTCGTGGGTTCGATTCCCACACGGGACAACTATTATTGCGACCCACAGATAGTGGTTTCGAATCCGGGTGGTTTTCCATGTGAAATTTATCGGTAAAACGTCCTTACAGCACATGACAATGTTAAGTGAGGGTAATGTTTTTAAGAGAAAAAAAAATAATAAAAACAACAATTCTAACAGTTATGCAATAATGGTACAGGAACGCGAAATCGGACATCGGACCATCGAAAGCTGGCAGGGAGCACGACTTGAGGGGCGTGCGCGTTGTTACGCAGGTGGCGGAGTGCGTCCCTATGTCGGACGACGACAGCGTGAGGGCGACGAGCGCTTTCAGCGTCCGCGACAGCCTCAAGACCGACGACGAGGAGCAGCCGCAGCCGATCACGGCCGCCAACGCGAAGCTCCTCCGGCACGAGTTCAGCGTGATGAACAACTCGAACCTCGTCGTGTGCAACCTCGAGGGCAACATGGCGCAGCTGTTGGCCAACGGCAGGCACGAGACGGCCAACCGCATGCACAAGATCGACGAGGAGAAGCACGACCCCGAGAAGACAGACGCGGAGCGATCCGAGGGCGTGCGGAAACAGAAGACCGCGGAGACAGCGTCCCACAGCCTCGAGGGCCCGAAGAGCCCGCCGAGATGCAGCGGCGACCAGCTCGGCTCCGGCCTGAGCAAGAGCGTCCCGCCGTCGTACAAACAGAAGATACTGCAGTTCTCGAGGGAGAAACTGCGCTTCGGCAGCGGCGGAAACAGGCTGACGAGGAGCATCAAGAGGTCGTTCCACTTCAGCCGGAGCCTCGACAAGGGCAGGCCGGACGCGCAGAGGCGCACGAGCGAACCGAACCTGCAGGCGCCTGGTGTCGTCGACGGGGAGAGAGAGAAAGTGGGACGTTCGAAAGAGGACAGGGATAGGGACACCGAAAAGACCGAGGTCATAGAGGAGACGGTCGATGACAAAAATGTTGCGAACAACGACTGCGCTGTCAGTGCTGATAACCACGAAGGTATAATGGGCTAACAAACATATATTGACATAACTTTTAAGCTAAACTGAATTCGTGGCGATAGTTAAATTAAATTGTATTTTATGGAATTATTAATAAATTTTGTAATATCCAAGCACACTGCTCGAAATCTTACTACTACGTGGCCAATCATATAAAGGTTGCCCGTAGTTTTTACCGGGACCTAGTCCATATACCATTGCGATGTTAATAAAAAGAAAGAAACTAATAAAAAAAAAAAACAATCTTTACAGTGAAGGAGCCGTCGACAATTGAGTTAGAAGAATGGGAAGCGTTCCTTAACTCTAACATAACTGAAGTAATGGATGGCGACGTTGAATCGCTCACTCAGCTGAATATGGTATACCCTTTTTATTTTCAACATTTTTGGGAAATAAATACTTACTTAGTGAAATATACAATTAAACATATAGAATAACTACAACTATACAGAAAAACTACAAACTAATATTAAAACAAAGTAAGGGATAGGTTAGATGGACCGCCTGCGCGCTCGCTACCTTCTCTCCTTTTTTTTTTAGTTTTATGTACTCCAGTGTTTCGTCTATTTTGCAGCGTTCTGAACTGATTGGTCCCTAACTAAGTAAACCTTACACTGGTGGGCACAAAGTAACTTTTAAGTAACAACAAAAAAGTTAAGTAAAAGCAAAAATTAACAGACTAGAAAAATAAAACTATATTCATCACACAATGTTTACGATAAATATAGTGTTTTTCTAGTCTTTCAACTACCGGGATCGAAGCCGCAATCTCTGGCACAAGAGACAGATAGGGAATCCAAGCCTGCAACTCAAGAAATTTGACTATCCCCTATGCCCTTCTGATCGTCAGTTTATTGGATACTAGCGACCCGCCCGGCTTCGCACGGGTGCAATCGATTATACATATAAACCTTCCTCTTGAATCACTCGTATCTAGTATAAAAACCGCATCAAGGTCCGTTGCGTAGTTTTAAAGATCTAAGCATACATAGGGACAGACAGACAGCGGGACGACTTTGTTTTATACTATGTAGTGACGATGCATTGAATTGCAGGTGAGTATGGTGGTGGGGGTGGTTGGGAGTGCGGCGCGCGGGAGGGGGGGCGCCAGAGTCTGCGGTGCGGTCGCCGCCCTGTTAGCAATGCCCGCCCTCTCCCACTCCCTGCCGAGGCATACGCTGCTGACCATACAGGACGTTAGTACATCACGGATGCTTATTAAGCCCATTTACGATCTGGTTTTAAATTTACGAATTAATCGAAAAAACGTAAAACTGTAAGTTCTTTTACTAAATTTACGAATTAATAAAAAAAAAAAAACTTAAACAGCTACTTTTCGAATCCGAAACATTCCGTGTACTCGGAGCTGCTCCTTTAGTTTATGAAATTGTGAATGTGATGCTCTCTAACTCAGGAGAAGCCACTCTTGCAGCAGAGCTACACATTGCAATAGTTTTCTGTTCTTGTATTGTTTAAAACGGATTTTACAGACGCGGTTTTGCCACCCTTATTTAGTCACCGTAAAACTAAAAATACTCTCTTTCGTATCGTTAAGCTTGGGTTCGGCTACAAACGACTCATAGAAAATTATTTTAATTTCAGGTATACCTAGAAGCGAAGGTTGTTTATAACTTTGTGGCTGCGATTAACACTTTGATGAAGCACAAAGATGACAATGACGACGGAGCCGAAGACAGGTAAGGTTTTATGTTTTATGCAGTATTTTATTGTACCTTTTTACTTTTTAGAGAAAGGTAACAAAAGTGTTTGCGGTAACAGATCTACGTCAAGGGAGATCGAAAAATCAAATGGAAACAGGAGCGGTTGATGATTGAGATATGAGATCAAAATGTCAGTGTAATATTGTGATATGTAAATTACGGCTTAAAAGTGCAAACTTCTTTCCTGTACTCAATGTCAATATTAAACTCGAGTACATTATTATAAACTTTAAGCAATAGCTAAATTTAATGAATGGTTTGAGTGTATTCAGCATTTATATATATGTTTACAGAAATTATTTAACTTAAAAACTAATGTATAATTCACCTCCCTCTAAAGAGAACGGTAGCTGGATTTTCTTGCATTTTCGAGATTAAATGGCAAGAGAGTTCAATGTATGCGGCATCCCTAGACCTCGCGCTTCCCGGCTGTTTTGAATTCTATTCCCTGTCTCTATCACTCCGCGCTCTCTCTTTTCCCCCCTTTTTTTTTATTCGCGCACTGGCCGTTTCAGGTTCCAAGGCGTGAGTCGCATGGTCGAGGTGTGCGCGTGGCTCTGCGTTCGCTCCTGCCGCGGCGTGCGTCAGTTGGCGACAGCCCTGATCGCCTACAAGGCCGCCCCCGTCTTCACGAGGCTCCTGGCTATGCGTAAGTCGTCAATGCCTACGTAATGGGGAACATTTATTGTTTTTTGAAATTATATACTTTTGGCGCGTTTGGGAAAAAATAATGGGAGTAAATTTTCACGTGGCGCATCATCGACTTCGCGGTGTTGAACATGGGAACCAATAACAACTTTTTGAAACTTACCCATAATTACAGGTTCAACATAAAAAAAATTGCATTTAATGTCATGTAATGGCAACACATCTACAACCCTACGGATATCGAAAACGCCTATGGGCGGCGCTCATCGTTTAACGCTGTTATGTGAGAAGTCCGCCAGCTCGTTTGCCACCTTCTCACATAAAACATGGTTAGTCCGTTGAATGACTGCGGCCTTACAGAAGTATTATACTTTTGTACTTCGTCTGGTGATTCGGGTAGCTGAAGCCCACCAAACTCTCAAAATAAGACAGACCATGTAATCGCTTGCCAACTTTTTACATAAAAAAAATCATCGTTGTCACCACCATAGCCGTCATTAAGTATTTTTGGTATTAGAAACCGAGGCCTTTATAATTGACATTTAAAATCTTGTATGTCATTATAGCGTTACTATCCGTAATTTGCCCTCAACCGCCAAACGTTAACTGGAAGAAAATGCTATTTATCATTAAGTTCGCCTTTGCACAACCTTGTAGTACAATAAAAAAAATATACAAACAAACGAATACAAACAAGGCCGACCATTAGTAGCATATATATTTTCAGTTCATGCCATTTATTTTTTTAATTTTTTGTGCTGTTTGTTGCTTGTCAAAATAAAGTCTATGTCTATGTTTATGTCTATGTCTATTTTCATCACCGCTTTCAACTTTGAAAGCGTGCGCTCAGAAAAACAATCGAAAATTGTTCGACGAAAACCTACATAGTACACGGGAGCCCGCAAACACGGCATTTTTGCTTACAGAAATCAAATTAATTCCCAAGTCCAATTCGTTGACGTGCACCTCCCCGTTCCCAGCTTCGAGGGCGCCGCGGGCCGCGCTCAACACCGTCGGCCTCCTCATCACCATTCTTCAGGACCTGCCCGAGCACGCGGACGTCGTCGAGACGATACTGTTCGAGGACGCCGCCCTCAACTTCCTCGCGCTGCTGGAGCAGCCGAGCGACGCGCTGAGATTGAGGGTGTGCATACTGATCAGCCTGCTGTGCACCTTCTCGTGCACCGCCTTCTCTGCGGCGATGCGGGGCAGGTGGACGGCGGCGGAGGGCGGCCGCCTGGAGGCGCTGCACGGCCACTGCAACGCCACCCTGAACAGGGCGGCGCGGCTGGCCACCAAGGAGCTGAGCAACATGCCCTTCTACGTCAGCTGACCGAGGCGCGCGCCCCGCCCGCTTCCCGCATCCGACGAACGGCCGCTGGTTGAACAGCTTCGCAAATTTCATAACGACTAAACGTTAGTAACTCACTCTCCGTAGGTAATGCAACGGCCCGCAAGGAACGCCTCGCCTCGATACGAATAGGAACCTGGCGTAAGCGCCTTTTATCTACAAGTCTTTATGAAAGTTTCGAAGATATGTATACTAACGGCCGATCGTTGAATATAGGAACCGGCCATTTATCGTGACGTACGGCCGTTTGTAAGCTGCTCATGCGCCACACACTTAATTTTTTTTTTCGCATTTAAATTGGCCTCCAAGTAACACGAGGTAAATTCAAACATTATGTGGCTGTGTATAAAAGTCTTTTTTTTGTGTAATGTTAAAACAGGATCACCCAATGTTAATTGTATCACCCAATGTTTTGTAATTACATACAAACACGAGGTAGATATGACACGAAAGTGAAATTACGTCAATTGGTGTAATTAAATAGATTGCAGTTCTATAGACGTCTATCTCTTTTCGCATCATACGTTCTGAACATCTGTCGCATTCACTTATATATGTCATATGTGATATGTGTAAAGCGGTGCAATTTTTAAACGGTAGATACAAGGATTATGCCTTTTGGAGGACGGTTTGCTTTTTCATCACGTACGTTATTATCAATGTACGGAGGCTACATTCATATTTTGCTTTAAAACTAAGTGCTTTTGTGTATTAAACGATGTTATCAATATTATATAGGAGGCTTAAATAAGTTAAAATTTTACTAAGCGTACTGTACCTTTTAACATTTTTATCTTTTTATCGTGCCATAAATACATCTGATGTTAAAATGTTTGCCTTGTTTCACTTAACACGAATCAAAGCCTGTAGTCCTGCTTATATTGAAGTCAGAACAAAGTAACTTATTAATATAATTATATGCATATCATATATTATATTAAGTTTAAGCATAACATGCATAACGTTGGGTTTCATAAGAAATATTATTTAGGAACGTGGAACAATGGAACGCGGCCCGATACTTTTTAAATTTTCGTTGGAGAATGCGGCATTGGTTAATCTAAGTCTCAAGAACTATTTAGGAGCAACAAATTATGTCGAACTTCTGCAAACTAGTCCTACGGTGGTCGCCATGTTGCTTTCATGTACTATATTTTACAGATTTTTTGATTGAAAAAAAATTTCACAATTTGACATACGAGGTAGTGTTCAAATGACGTGAGATTTGTTTCCTTATAATGAATAATATTTTTTTGAAATTAAATGGATTCTTTAACAATTTGCAACGATTAAAGGCGTGCTAATTCTGAGCAAAATGGATTAATTTTTATTTCAATGATAATATTTTCTTGCTTTATTATAAACCACCAGAATATTAGATAATTAATTCTCTCGTATGCATGTATCCGCTTCGTGTAATGTCTTTGATATACCTGCCAAGTTTCAGGCAAGTTTAATAATTTTATACACATATGCACCAAATATTTTGTTTTTTACCTAAACCTTATGTATCAAGAATGTATGGTCTAAAATACGAATTTTTAAACTTCGATATTTGCTTCAGATTCGAATTCGTTAAACTTGACATAGGTTTTTTTGGTCAACAGGGCCTAAAGAGAAAATATCGATTTATTTCTTCACTTTCATCTTCCCTACAATATAGAGGAGTTGTTGGTGCGATGTAAACATTTTTAAAAAGTCGGCCCTTTTAAATTACTCCCTGGATGAAACGCAAAATACAATTCTACTTCACGCCGGTCTTCTGTGAGTCCGTGACTACGTGGCTTAAGAGCCTGCCCATTCTTTCAACAGCAGAAGCTATGTGACAAGGAAAATTTAACGTAAAATTGGCTATACTGATCATTTTAAATAAATATTTATTGTACTGTCAATAATGAATACCGAATAAAGTACCTACTGTAATATTGGTAATAAAGGTAATCTGTTAGGGACAAAATGAGATGCAGCAATCTTCTAAAACCATGTGTTTAAAATCGTTAAACATGGTGATAGTTATCACTTTATTGTAACTATAGACTATTTGTTATAAGATCCTTATTAGATTATCGAAAAAAAAAAGTTTTGCCTTGCTGCCTGGTTTTCTTGACTCCCACACAGACTGCCACGAATCGTGATCCTGACTGCATCCATCGACTTGCGTCAACGGTCGTCATTTCATCACAATTATACCAATATTATATCACATACTATTATGTTGGGTGTGAGCAAGGTAGCAGGAGTCGACTTTATTTAAGGTTGGTAACGTCTTCCGTCTTACAGAATCATCTACGGCATCACTGAAGGCCGACATGAAATTTTAGTATAGTATAATTCTGCGTTTCGTCTAGTGAGGTAACCGGACTGGATTTTTAGAAGATGGAAAATTATCTGCAACCTTACAGGTAACAGGTGTTGTAGAATGTTTACAGCACTTAACATATAAAAATATTTTGAAGAAATAGGGAAACTCCATAAAATATATGTAATAAATGATAAGGTTAACCACGTAATAATTTACGTTTTACATTTAAAAAATAAAAAGCTTTTTCATTAAAAAGATTAGTAATAAAAGAGAAAAACAAACCTTCAATATCAACTTAACTGAAAAAGTCATGCGAACAAGCTTATCGTATTCTGAGCAGGCTTGAGATGACAATGACAACCAATAAAAAAGTGGGCCCAGGTTACCTCATTCATTTGATGAAATACGAAGGTATACTTCTACTTCACTGCAGTTACATATAAGGTCGCGTGTGGACTAAGTTTCAACTTAACGTTACAATACCAGAAAATGGGTATTAAGTTTTTATTCTATGCTTTTTATTTTTGCTTCTCGCTGGTGTTTTGGACACACATAAGACTTCCACTGTTGATTAGTCTCTTCAATGGTAATAGTCACTGCGAGGCACTGCTGCTGTAATTTTTTAGTCTATACAATAATAAGTTTAGTTATCGATAAAAAGGTAACGTGATTTAAGACTTATACTTCAGAACTTGTAGTTATCGATAATGTTAACTTCTTGCCTTGATATAAACCTTAAGGCTAGCAGAATACAGGAACCAATACAGAAATTACCTAACACAGCACCTGTAGCACACCCACTACGATAAACAATCATTTATATTCTATACCTATCGCATAGACAACCTAATGAATGTACTGAGAAATAAACAACCGTGGAATAATAACGAATATGTTTACATCCAATTCACACAACACACTCCGCATGTTATCTATCAACGAGCATTAAATTAATTGACCATAGCTGTGGTGCATTTACATCAAGATCAAAAACCTTCACCGTAGACTGGTTTCTTCCTATTGGGCGTTTGTTTGTAGCGTGGGCGATGCACTTAATGGTACGTAGTTAGTGGACAAGTTACATAAGGGAGTTGATCGGCCGGCCTCGCTCGCAGACGCGTGCGTTCACTGCCCAATACGCTATGCATATTCAAATACTGTAATGTACCTCGGCGCTTTATTTGCATTAATCGTTATCTATGATTACTTCGGCCATTCACAAAATTTGCTTTGCGGAAATTACGTTACGTTTGCATATGATAAGGCAATCATCTTACTTCGTTTTAGTTCGTTCGTGATTTTTTAATTGATTCTTGAATCTTTAGTCAATGATAGATTTGTAAATAAATTTAAATAAAATCAATTAAAAAAAGTAAATTGAAAAACCCTTAATATTTATGACTACAAAATATCCTTGTTGCAGTATAATGAAAACAAGACAGTTCTCCACAAGCCCGTATAACTTCATTAAGACAATGTTGCATGTTTTAAACCCAATTTTTAATACGATCTATGGCCTATGTTTGATAATTATTCCACTAACGCATCCAGTAACTTGTGTAAGATATCTGAGGCTGGAAAGCGTTTTCTAACACATCCCTCAAGCTCGTACCATACATCTTTTATAAAATTTAAGTCTGGGCTGCGGGCTAGTCCCTTCATACAGGTAATATCCACATTTTGAATTTGCATTGGTCAAACAAGCAATTACTGTATAAAAATGGAATGAACGAATGAATGTCTTTATTACCAGAATACGGTAGTACATTGTGATGTTAATTATCATAATTTGGCAGGACAGACTTCGTTCTTTTCTTTTTTTTTTGTATTAAAACCTTCCGTGGACCTTAAACAACATACAAAAATATAAATTAGCCGAATTGGTCCAGCCATTCTTGAGTTATGCGCTTACGAACATTAATTTTTATTTATTACTACCTGAGCCCGCGACTTCGTCCGCATGTAATTATATTATCTATATTAATAACAATAAATAAAACTTCAAAACTAAAAGTAGCCTAAGCTACTTCTTATTACATCAGCTACCGTCAAAATCGGTCCAGCCGTTTCAGAGATCAGCCCGAACAAACAGACAGACACACAGACAAAAATTGTAAAAAATGTTATTTTGGTGTATATGTACCGTGTATATATCCTTATGCATTCTGTTAAAAGTATTATTTTAATCTTACAAACAGACACTCCAATTTTATTTATCTGCATAAATAACTAGCTTTTCGCCCGCGGCTTCGCTCGCGTTGAAGCACTTAAATAAATATCTTTCTTTAACCTTTCAACCTTTTACAACACTTTTTTCAATAAAAAATAGCGTATGTCCTTTCTCGGGCTCTACAATATATGTGTACCAAATTTCAGTTAAATCGGTTCAGTAGTTTTGGCGTGAAAGCGAGACAGACAGACAGTTACTTTCGCATTTATAATATTAGTATGGATGATGACTCCGTGGCGCAGTAGCTAAGGTATTGGCTTCGGCGTCGGAGGCCTATTTGTGTGACCCACAGATAGTTGTTTCGTATCTGGGTATTTGTCCACGTTTGTAAATCTGTGTTTGTAAAACGTCCTTACAACACAGAATAATGTTATCCTTAAGTATCCAGTCAAAAGATACATGTATATATTATACATTAAAACTTTTTAAGTGGAGTTCCATAGATAGATCATTAGAACTTATTTATAGTATTATTTGCAAGTGACACCATTTTACAAGCGCGATAAATTAAAAATATGAATGTAATAATTTATACTCCAAGCATATCTTTATCTCAATATAAAATTATTGTAATATTTCGACTAAGCCTAAGCCCCTGACTACTCAAAATATCTTCAGTTTAGTATCTGTTAGTATTTTGGTCTAGACTTTTTTTTACACACGCGCTTTTTCGTCGTCTAGTCAAAGAAGTATACACAAATTCATTCAAGAAGTCCCAAAAAGGTCATTGTAATAATTTTATATATGCGTACATACTTTTGGTAAAATTGAGTAAAATAATTTCAGAGAAATCTAACCCTCATTTCCTGAGGTACAAAATAGGAAGTCTTATAATAAAAGATTCCAAATTCGCTTATAAACTTACCGTGCATCTACGTGTTTATTGTCTTTTAGCAAGATGCCTGTATGATCATTGGCTATGGTTCGACAACACAATGCGATGATCTGAGTGCGTGCCTTGTGAAGCTCAACATGCGAATTTTAATATGAGCGAAATTTTATCATTCTTAGATAAGACATACGTACGATTCCGATTCCTTGACGTCACAGCCCTAGATTAAATTATCCGTGTCTATTCTCAAATGTTTATTATTTTATAAGCGCGATAAGAAACCCAATTGTTACACTTACGCAAGCCTTGGCCGAGTATTTATTAAATAAAATTAAAAATGCACAGACATAAATTATATCAAAACGAATCCTTTAATTGAATTGTTCATTTAGATTGAAAATTTAAAATTATAATAACATCAAATTGTTCGGCACATACCTACCTACCTCACCTCATACTCATATGATAATCTGACATCCAGAGTGTACGAACAAAGATATACAGCGTGTCGTTACAACTGCGAAAATAAATGAACACGCCTATTATATAGGATAACTTTTTAAAATTGTATTAAGCATTTACTTTCTTTAATCATCAACATTTAACGAGTTATACAATTTTACAAAACAAACATTTTTAGAACATCCTTACTTATAAAACTGTAACGTAAAGTCTTTGTAAAGGTCACAAAGCATATAATGGGTTGAATGAATTTAAAAGAGATAAAACATACTGTTAGAAGGAGAGACTTGTAATGCGACGTTGTGGCAACGAATGAAACTGTCTCTGAATGTATGAATCAGTTAGTTGTAGTTGTATAGGATATTACAATTTTGTTTCTTTTTTATTTAATTAGTTTTGTTTGAGAAATATATTTTTTTAATTATGGTTTTTTTAACGTTTTATATTTTTTTATGATTATTGGCAAGTAGCGTTAGACGCGTGTTCATTTATTGTCGCGGTTGTAACAACACGCTGTATAAAAAATCAAATCCCAAAGGCTAGCAAGATGAAAGTATGAACGAAATTCGTTCCGAAATCCACGTAAATGCTGTCGTGGAGAAATGCTAGAATGTCCTTTTCTACTTTAAAACGTTGTGTGTTGAATTATTAACGTCAAAATTAACGTTAGGAATTACTAGTATTTATAGGCTGATAATGACGGCCAATGACGCGCTGTAGGTTAAGTAGTTAAGACAAATGGATTTTACTTACAAAGTTTCGGGTAGATCTAAAAGTTGTTGATATTTTTGTCCTACAATAGATTGCATCCAACACAACATAACAATACGCACTGTCAACGAACTGTAATAGTGGTATCAATTATGTTTGGCTGAAAATCACTTATGTTAAAGCAAAAATAAATAAAGACACTCACCAGTAGTCGCTGGGATTTGAAAGCACCAAAGTTTTTTTTTATTTACATTTGGGGCATTAATGATCATGTAATTGTTAGATAATGTTATGAAACATCTTTCAAGATTCAAAATAAATTTCGTACATATTTTATAAACTTAATTATCTACTTAAAATTAACGTAAGTTACAATAGATACAGCAAGTTCAATAGTTTCAAACTAATCACAAAATATACGTAATCATTAACATATCAATTTTACAAACAAAGTGATTGACATCATCTTAGCATTTACACGTTTAGAAATTATGAGGCCGCTTATGAATTTTTACCCGACTATCTCAGAAGGATAGTTATGTTTTTCGAAGATCAGAGAGGATTTAGTTCTTGTGTACACAGATCAGTCTTATAACCTGCGGTTAGTTTAAGTTATATAGGTTAGATTTAAAGTTTTTCGTGCTAATAGAGTTTTTTTGTAGAAAACTTTTTTTTTAATTATTATTAGTGATTAATTTTAATAGATACAATAAAAAGATTAAAAACAAATTAGGAAAGAAATCTCTAAGCATATCAAATGAGAGGCCTGACCAACGCGAAAATACATTGTAAGATATATACCTACTAATCCTACATATTAAATGAATCCTATATGTTAAAGGTCGAACATTAAGAAAATTACAATAATCGTATTAAATAATTCGCACTCGTTTGACTACAAGTTTATATATTAAGACTATCCGCACCGGCTTCGCATGGGCATGTATTATACATATAAACCTTCCTTTTGAATCACATTATCTAGTTAAAAAAAACGGCATTAAGATCCATAGGAACAGACAGACAGCGGGCGAGTTTGATTTATACTATGTAGTGATTTCCCAATGGCGTTGGCGAATTGATAACGGCTCAACTTGAATTGCTTTGCGAACAATCCATATATGATAGAAGAACACGCAGCATACTAATTAGGTAATTTTCACATTTTCAGCTGTACTGAATCTGCTTAATATTTCCTAGTGTATGTTATGTTAGGTGATTACGTAAAACAATGCATAGTGATAGCAGCAATTGTGAGTGTTGATTTGCTGTTATTTTTTGAAGAGTTCCATTGTCTATCTCCAAAACTTATCATCAAATCTATATGAAATTTAAATGGGACCATTTCGGAATAAAACAATTTCGAACATATGTATTATGAACATATTTCCATAATAAATGACGGAGTTATGGCCGAACATACATATAATCCTCTTTTTAGATGTCGGTTAAACAGAGTTCTGAAAACTATGGAAATTTTCCTAATATGTACATTAAGGGACAGATAAATGTCGTAATAATCAACCTTATTATAAGTACATTTATATTGCATAACTTGGCACGATAAGTGGACACTTATTAAAAAAAAAAAGAAACATGGCCAAAAACTTCAGTATTGACGTGAAGAATAGTTCGTGAATGTCGGTTCCACTTAAAGTACAAATTAAGATAATCGCTATTCAATGTTTTCTTTTAGTTACGTTTCTGAATGTATTTTAAGTGCGCGTTAACGAGGAGCCGTACAGATTTATGATGACGTGAAAACTTTTTACGACCTTCTGGGAGTAGATATGGCTCCCATTTGGGCGTAACGCAAAAGACAACTTGTACGAGACTTCACGTCGTTCAATCAACATCGGCTTAACCTCCGGCTCGCTTTCCATCTTTTTACACAACCGGCGCACACCCAGTTAATAAATTAAAAATACAGTATTTAAAAAGTATGCTAGAACGAACGATCAAGTACTACTAGAGCCTTATTAATGATAAATAAGATACTGATTTATCCTTAATTTATGCTTAGGATTTATTTTTTTAGGAATTGTTATCCACATTCAAGTTGAATGTCTAAATTTTATAAATATCCTGAGTTTCGAAAAACGTCAAAATATCGATTAGTTTAAGATGTTAATAGCTCGAAAATAAACATCCAGTTAAACTTGAACAACAAAATATGATCATACTATAAAATAACTAAAGTTTATTTAAAACACATCTGATTAAAAAATTTATCCCAACACTAGTCAAAGTGATTGTGTACCTACGAAACGAATTAGGCAATAAAAATAGGTAACGCATAACCTATATTCTATAAACATATCAGTACGATAATTTTGAGATTACGGTATTTCTGGCCGATAGCGCTTTTTGTATATTAAAATTTTTGGTGGACACGCAGATCACGTTGCTATTTGCGCGAACGTTGCGAGTTCATTGACCCGCCGTATTCACTGTACCATTGGGTCATGAGTATTTTGACAACGCAGCGCGGAAATTATCTAATCGGCACGCGGCCGCGGGGACGTGGGGTTAACGACTCCGGGACCGTTTGCTGCGGCTCTTGTAGCGACTCGACGAAAGTGAAATGTGAAATGAATATCTTCGTATAGACAGCGCCAATTCGAATGACCGAATTCGTTCATTGGCTGTGGGTGTGATTGCCGAGGCAGATGCTCTCACGCTGATTGATGGGGCATACCGTAGGTAGCTGGTGGCACGCTAACTTGGGACTGGTTTCAATGGAAAACGTTATTCTAATATTAAAAAAAAATAGTTATTTGTGTGTTTGGGATGTTATTTGTTATTTCCCGTCTTTTCTTGTTAGATAATTTCTTTTATATCATATTTTTAAAAGTTTTCTCTGTAAAAATGCATATAGACTTAGATTTTTAAAAGCTTTCAGGTTCTTAACATTTTGTTAAAGCCGAAAGTTGTGTGTGTGGATAACGTTTTGGTAACGTATTTTATACAAACATTGTGTATTGTGTATGTTATACCTAAACATTAATTCTCTTCCACCATTTGTTAAACCGAACACTAACCTTAATGTTATTTGTTTTTTAACAGAAAATGTTCATTCTTGCACAAACTGCAGAAGTGCTAGGCGTTTGTTCATAAGTTCAATGACCGCAGCGAGTTTTATCGAGATTGCATATCACGTTAGAATCTTGACACAAATAAAGTATCTAACGATCTATTCACGTTAGATAGAAATTGGGAGATTGCCCTAGATTCAATTATTTTATATATTATCCATAAATCAGCTCATCATTTTATTATAATTTGTAATAAAACATTTAGATATAACTCTGATATTGTATAATTGTAAAAATTATCTTACACTTAAATCATTTCGATTCATAAAGAATAATTGGCCTTTCCATTTAAAAACTAATTTAATTTCCTTCATTAAATTCTATACTGTATCGTGAGGTTTAGGTTCAACGACCGATAGGTTTATTACAACAGTAGTAAAATTTCTATTATACATACTACGAATTGTTTGTGTGACGTGTACGTAATAGATTCTTTGAAGGATTCTAGATCTTATTATCAAAACACTAAGTACTCAATTAAGCTACCGCTGATAGAACGACAACATTACCACGTGCTAAGTCGGCCGCTACTGCAGATTATGCACTGCAAAATGTATAGGGATCGAGCGATTAGAAATTTTTGAATTATATGCGGAGGTATTTTAAACAGGAAGAAAACAGTGTAGGGATGTTTAAAACTAAGAATAGAAATATCACTAGTAGGTGCAGTGTTACGCAACCGGTAGAGAAATTCAAATAGTAGCGAACATTACGTTCTTGTAAATATACAATCGCTCGATGTAAACAAAACTCGCCGTTCAATTACGATCGGACGAACGTCCTTGCGAGAGCAAAGAACCCGGAACCACACCTACTATGTTGATAATAATAGCTATTATCCAATCTTGATTGCTGCTTATGCAAGTCCCCGATAATGGATAATGAGTTGACCTTAACGGTCAATGCCCTTTCAATATTAGTGCCACATATACTTAATAGATATTTAACCTACGCTGCACCTTTATTTATTTACATTACTTTTCAACATACGGAAACAAAACTTGAGATTACAAAGTAAAATGGTTATTCTACAATATTTTCCGAACTTATTTATCAAAAATATTAGGTGTAATAGCAGATGTCTGAACAGAATAAGCACAGCTTAATTAATCTCGCTTAAGTACAATTATATAAGAATATATTCGTAAGAACGTAACGTAAAAAGATTCGTAAACAAATTAAGTGCGTAACGAAATGCGTTATGTAATGTTACGCATTTTTAATAATTTGTGATGTTATAGCTAAGCATTGACAATATTGATTCAATAATAATTGGCATATGTGGGAATATAAGAAAGGTCAAGGAACTCGCTTGCGGCCACTTATGCAATTTATTTTGATTTTATTTTTGAGTGACGTTAATTTATGCAAATGTCACTGAACTTTGAAGATCAATATGGCCAGCCCAATAAACACTTAAGGTGAAGCACCAACACCATGCAAAAGAATCCAACAATTATCTTAGAATCTAAGCGATAAGATGATACGCTCCTTCCGCAGGTGCTATATAAATTCAACGCTAAGCAATATTTCTCATATATTTTCCTGCCTTGTTCAATCTGCAACATTAGCTAGCACGATTACTATGAGAATCCTTTAATCACAAAAGATTCTGTACCAAATCTTACTGATCGTATTTGAACTGGCGGATCGATATTTTTTTTAGTAATCATTGCGGGTAGTATCGTAATAGTGCTCGGTTGATTCATTTGAACAGAATTCTCTCGACAATATCTTCGCCCCAAGGAATTGTAAAGGAAAAATGTTCTGGATTATTTACGAATATATTTATACGTTTCTAGTAGCAAATGTTTGGTGTAGTCTTTATAGATTTAGTTTATTCAGTTTCGCGGCCATTTTTGCAATTTGGAAAATTCAAAGACAAATTGAATATTACAAAAAGCTTCCACCAGGTAAGACTGCAGTATTAATAGTATACGAAATATTTTCTAATTCCAGAACTTGAAATAATACTACATTATTTTTAGGGCCCTGGGGGGTACCAATTCTCGGTTGCTTGCCCTGGATAAGCAAGGGCTCGCCGCACGCTTACTACTTGTCTCTTAGTGCCAAGTACGGAGACATATCATCCGTAAAACTAGGCTCAAATCTCGTTGTATGCATTGGGTCTGCAAGAATATTAAGGGACCTATTCAACAGATTCGATTCTACCGGTCGTCCGCAGACTCCATTGAATACTTTGATGGGCGGCCTAGGTTAGTAATGTTAAAAGTTAAGGGCTGGATAATTGGATACTCCTCATATTATATAATACTATTTTTGATGTAGGCATAGTACTAAGCGAGGATGTTTTGTGGAAACGGCAAAGGCATTTCCTTCATGACAAGTTTCGAGCCCTCGGCGTGAGCCTGTGGAAGAATCAGCGATTGGAACAGATCGTAATGGTAATTTTTACATTAACATGATTTTCAAATATTTTTTTTCATGTGACGGCCATTTCGACTACGTGTGACCGTGCCCGCTTTGATTAGAAATTTCATAAGCCATTTTATAATTAGTTAACAATTTTAATTAAAAGTCGATATTATTATGTAACGTGTGACGTATGACCACAGTGTTTTTTGACCATTGAGATACTAATAATTATATGACTTAATAATTAGTTCTACATAAATAATATATAGATTTCCTGTTGGATAACTATTTTAAATTGTATGTAATTGTGAATAAAAATGTATCTTGATAAACCAATATTTACATGTACTTTTTTGTGTACCGAAAACGTTACCAATGGTGACCATGGTAACGGTTTCGGTCGACTCAATTAACTTATTCATTATTTGCTAGTAAAAGCATTATATAGTTAACGTACCCTGGCCCAACATAGACACGAGTTAATTAATTTTAGACCGTCACGTCGTGTCGCCCCGCTTTGTATGCTTTTGCGGTCTATTAAAAGTGCACCTAACAAATGTTAAAATATAAATCCATCATATTTATTTATTTATGCCTAGTATCACAAAGCATAATGACAACGTATTTAAATATTAATACAAAAATATTGTTAAAACAGTCAGTTGACATTGCACGTATGCGACAACAAGTCAAGCAAGTTATACCTATAATAATTAAGAGAAATAAAAAAGATAATGGTGTATACTAGAAAAGTGACGGAAAATAAATATTTTTGATTAAATATAGTAAATAACATAAAACTAATAACTATGTAAATAAAATTGTGAGTAATTAGTAACTTAATAATATGATTTGTAAATATCAGCGTTTTTTTGTTTTTTTTTTGACATTTTTCTGTGCACCTACTTAATCTTCTCTGTACTACCCCAATATTGACTGGGGTATAATGCCTTTGGCAATAAGTCCGCCCTTGTACTATTTGTGCATATAGAATAAATAACATAGTGTAATAGACACGCACAAATATTGTAATATATAATGTTAATGCGATTTCAGGGAGAAGTTGAGGAGTTACTGGGCAATTTAGAAAAACGGGGTGCTGAGCCAATGGACCCTGTGCTGGTTCTTGGGAGGCACTTGCACAACGTAATCTGTCTGTTGACGATGAGCTATCGCTTTGAAGAAGGCAATAAAGAATTTGTGACATTTAACGAAAGTGTATCCAGGAGTATGAATCTCTACGGCTCAATACACATTGGGGAGCACCTGCCGTACTACTTGGTAATTAGAGAAATGGGCGCGTTATGAATGATAGAACGATTTTTATAAAAAAAAAGTTGCAGTAACATGAAACGATATCTCATGCATATGATACCTCTATGTATCAAAGAAGAAAAGAATGAAATAAAATATTTTTTATCTAAGTAGCCTCCCAATGCCCAGTGGGGTCGCGCGGTAATGCAGTAATATCTTCCTTATCCCACAGCTGGGCATAAGATTGTTTGGTTTTTTTGCTATCTAGGATACATAAATATCATGTAAGCTATTTATGTATCCTAGATATTTTCTTTATACATGTACGAGACACCTATTAGTGTTTATTTTATAATTTGTGCGCGTGACTTGTAGAATTCTAATTTTAATTATAAATTGTTTAGTTTTTATTTAAAATATTAAATCTTAGTTATATGTCGTATGCCACTTTGTTATTATTCAAAACCTACTTATTTAATGTAATTTTTTACTTTCACTTTCACATTATACATTTCATTAAACTCCTTTACACTGTTACCATCGTTGTCCCAGAAACTGCCGGGAAAAATGGCTGTTTTACAAGAAATCGGACGCAGTCTACAAAACATTAGCCAGTTTCATGCCAAACACATTGAGGAACGCCTTAAAAAGAGAAGTCGTTTTTCTGGAAGCAAGGAATTTAATGATCTCTTGGATTATTATCTAGACCAAGTGCAAAAGGAAGGGACCGGAGACGTTCAATCAATATTCAATAATATCGAACCAGGTATTTCTGAGCTTTGTTTTTGACATCAAGGACTGCGACTTCCTGCACCTAAACATATTAATGATTTTATTATTATAATTATAGGTGCTATTTATTTAATATTTTTTTAAGTAATTAGGAAATAACATAATTGTTCATCAAATTATATTAGTTACTTGGAGTGATTGCATGGAGAAATGTCATTTGACAGTATTTTAAAATACAAATTATCGAAACAACTACTACTATTATATATCATAATATAGATGACTACTTCTACAGGCTTCGACTAATTTAACAGGCTTCTTTATAGATTTGGGACTCATGCGCTATCAACCGCACTTTTGTATTAACGAGATAGATTGAGATAGATAGAGCATTTAAAATGATGTCAGTTTATTTTTTATTTTGCTAATAGTAAAGCAGATAGTGCAAGTTATGAACGATCTGTTCTCTGCCGGCATGGAAACCTCGCGCACCACTGTTGTATGGCTGCTGGTTATAATGTTGCGGGAGCCGAGAGTAGCCCAAAAGGTCATGGAAGAGCTGTCGCACCTTGTACCAGTTGGTACAATAGTAACAATGGCACACAGGCCTAAGTTGCCGTACATCGAGGCGGTAATTTACGAAACTTTACGTAGGGTATCCGTGGTACCGCTTGGAACGACACATGTTAATACGGAGTGAGTAAAATTTTAACAATTTCACCGTTGCTTCAAGTTTTCCGATAAATTATGGGGATATTTGTCAGTTAACACAATAAATAAGTATTAAAGGGGGGCATAAATAAACTAATAATAAGGCATAAACAAAATTTAAAACGGAATTTAATTTCTAATGAAGTCAAAAGCCTACTCAGACATCGCGATTTTCGCGCGGTGAGGATATCAACCGCTTTGCTGAGTGGTTACAGCGTGTGTCCGCTTTATGCGTAGGCGCAGGTTCAAATCCTGGCCGTGGCGAAAAGAAAAATATCGGCAATTTATCAACACATTTTAAGTTTTTAATAAGCTAAGACCTGGCTAGTTCGGATGTATATGTAAGATGGTACACGCATTGAGATTATCTGTATAAACCTATTCGACCCAGCGTTCAAAACATCCATAAGGGGCTGACGCAGCTTCAGGTTAATACATTATTTTCTCTTTCAACGCGTTATTAGTAATACGGCGGGCGTTCCACCCCAGGTCAAAAGTCTCCTCTTCTTTTATTTTTGTTAGACAACTCGATTGTGAGATGTAAATTTATTTCATAATACTTTCAGGGACTGGGAGGTCAACGGCTTTATAATACCCGCAGGCACGCATATAGTACCGCTTATCAACAAAATAAACATGGACCCGGAACATTTTAGTCAACCAGAAAAATTCATTCCGGAAAGGTTCCTCAAGAATGGTTCCTTATATCTACCCGATTATTTCATCCCCTTCGGGGTTGGACGACGTATTTGCTTAGGTATGCACTTGGCAAGGATAGAACTGTTTCTATTTTTCACCAATTTGATGAACAATTATAAATTTTCTTTGGCGGATGGACAAGCACTACCGGGATTAGAAGGCAATGTTGGGACAACGCATTCTCCGCGGCCTTATACACTTGTTTTTACAAAGTTAAAAGTTTAAATAATTAAGGCTTACTTTTAAGTTTTCTTCGTCTTAGAAAAGAAAAGCTATTTGAATGTTGAAATATCTCTTTCCCTAATAGTAATGATAATTTTAATTAGTGTGTTCCTAAATGTTTTATAATAACATACGATTATGAATGTATCAATTCTTTGTGTTTAGTAGAAATATAAATAGAGTAATGTAAAGTTATAGTTTTATTTTTATGCTTTTGTAACATATATACATATGTATAGTTGAATAATATTTTTAATCAAGTAGGAGGTACTAAGATAAGCAATGATGTATCAATATTTTACATTATTTAATGTAAAACTAGTTCAGACTGACACCATATATTTTATACTAGTCCTAGAGAATTTGCCTTGAAGATTTCTAGATAGTCTTGGTCACGGAACACGGACCTCGGCATTGAGATCTTGCATACAGTGCATCTTATTATTGCAACAGAAGAGTAATAATAATCTATGGCCTTATATATCGTATTCAATTGAAAGAAACTTGACACGAGATCAATGACAGGATTCTATTTGTTCGCTTACTGTCAGTTAACACATTTAATCGAGATATTTTATTGTTTCATTTGCATTTGTTTATTGTAACATTGTATAATTGTTTTTGTTAACGTTTTCCTACTATAAACTTTTGATTTACATCGAAACGCGTTGCGTGAATTTTTTTAACTCTACGTATATTTTTACATTAACTCTGTATGGTCTGTATAAAAATAAGTTCACCGGTCAATTGATTGTTAATATTGTTAAGTTTTATTAAACCCAATGCCAGTCAAAGGCTGCCATTGAATGGGTTATATAATGCCTTTAAAGCGGTCGCCTATTTTATGGCATCGACCTCGAGATTTTAAGAATTCAAAGGGCAGAAGGGAGGCTCATTCAAAATTATTTAATCACAACGACCTCCCGTGGCAAGTTCAAGGATTTAAGTGTCGCTTTTACTAACTCATTTCTATTTTCAAACATTAGTTTTGTTTAATATTTTCTTTGAATTAAAAAATTATTCTTCTTTTAAATTGCTAATCAACTATTAAATAAAAGTTATTTTTTTCGCATTAATGCAAAATTAAAATTGCCTAACATTGTGATGAAATTACATTAAACAACAACGGTGGCATTGTTTTATAATTTATATATGACAATATTACATCCTACATTACTGAAGAAAATAACTTTGTCCATACGTATTCATATATTAAATTATGTTCTCAAATATCTATCAAATGGAATTTATATTTGCTCACAAATAATTTTATGAAAGTGTACTTTAAGTTTGCCACGTGTAAGCTGACATCTGAACCAGAAATTCAAGGTTATGGGGGTTCGCTTCATATATTGTATTATAGTTCTCCATGCACCCGCGCTGCTTTTGATGGTTAAATAAATCGACTTTGTAATTTTATCTGAAATATATTACCTCAAGTTTTAATGAAATGCCCATATTATGACGTAAATTTCAAAAAGAAGTTATAAAAACTAATTTAAAATCTAGCAAAATTTGACAGATTTTCAAAGTTTAGCTTTTTTATTTAGTCTCGATATGTCTTAAAACTTCACTCTATGATTTTAAGCACATTGTTCATTTCATCATTTAGTAGTAAGTTACGTATTCTTAAACTGATACGTAATAGTGCCGATTGACAAAAATACGACCCTATATACCACACCTATACTTACATAAAATTCTTCCATAACTCATCGTTTCGAATGGTGGTATTTTCGTTAAAACTTGATTGTGTATTTTTATTGCTGAGAGAAATCTTAACAGTATTATAGTATACCAAGTTCTTAGAGATTTAGTACAGAATACTTTATATAATGGATTTGCAACGAATAGGTGCAAAATATTCTGATGAAGGTCATTTCACGAGTTCAACCATCAACCAGCATACTAAAAAGTAAAATATTGCATAAAGTACAGTGTCACTGTTAGAGTACAAGGTAGCTTTAGTAATGTATACGTCGATTGTGCGCTACCCTTGGACTTGTAGCTTGTATAGAATCACTAGCACGATGGTTTGTTCACACGGTTACGCTTTTATCATTTGAATTAAAAACATCTCAATACGAATTAGTGGCAATTCTGTATGTAAAAATCCATGATCTATCCAAAAATCGTAATTTAAACCACAATAAATAAATACCTTTCGTTTATTTTCCTAAACGCGAAAAAATGCAATTTATTTTTATTGATGAGATGTGTTAATACTATCGAGTGTATTATTTTATTGTATACTTTTATGACGTATGCTATAAATTTACTCAAGTACATGTGATATGAAAATAATATTTTATCCATCACATGCACAGCAATGTGGGCAGGGTCTGACGGTATTATTTATGTCACTAGTTTATCTTGCACATAATATCATCCTAGAGACCTCACGTGGTGGCTTCAGTATAAAGACTAAACACGTGACCTCATACCACAGCCGACAAACAGATAATTGCTCTAATAAATGTGATAAACATCAAACGATTAACAAACACGTAACAAATATAAGACCGTCTCATGTCATCAATTAAAAATACACGAACCAGCAATACTTTAAACATAAAATGCGCATGAGCACAACTTTGCTTTAAACTCATTCTTAATTCCGGATCAAAATTTCATCACTACCGACTAACTTAACCTACCGCGGAGAACCCGTTACGGTATAAACTTCATTTACCTTCATAATTTAGGAATTACCCACAATGATCGATTTACATTTAATTTCGCACACGACAAATTGCTGTCATCGGAGGTCGTTTTCGTCAAATGAATATTATGAAAGCGTGCAAAATTAAATGACGATAGTGACCTTACGCACCGGGCCGCGTTTCGCAAGGGCCACGGCGCCGTTACACAAGCGATCAATGTTCTTACTTGTCTATTGTAATTCGGCGGTTTTAGAGCATTCGAATTCAGCCGGTGTAGACATGTGAAGTAACGCCCGCCCCTTGTACCGCTCTGTCCGAATGGCGGTGCTATATCATTTAGTTTCATCACTACTCCAGAATTAATAGGTCGTATGTATTCATTCACCGTGTGAAGTTTGCATAAGCTACGTCACGATACCCACGACATTTTCGTAGCCCCTTGAGAATAGATAGCGCTCGTACGCGTTTTCATATTCTTATGCAGGCCCTTTTTGTTCGAGTCTTGGATAGGGCCAGCCATTTTGATGGAAGTATTTTCTATGTTGCGGCAAAAATAAATTTCTGAGTTATAAATAATATATTTTATCTTGTGGCAATACATATACATGTGCGATACATCATGGATTATTTTAGTCTTCCATGTTATTTAAAACGTTATTCATTAAAACTCGTTATTAATAAAAAATATTTCAAAGACATGTGAAGTTTCCCAACCCGCAGCGGAGTAGCTTGGTGGACTACGCCCTAATACCCAGTTTACAGGAGGTCTTTTACTCTCAGAACTTTTCTTTTCTAACTACTTTTTACTTTACTCAGAAGTAGGGTATATAAAGGCTCCTTTTAGTTTATTTAACTTATGGTATAGTTACAATTCCTATTGCCGCAAAAAGTTCAACTCATGTGCATTCAAGTTCTAGACTGCTTGGACCGCCTATTTTTGTTAAATATTTAATGTGTTCAAAGTGGCCGCAGATCCTACAGCAACGTGCGAAACGTCATAATGTTGTAGAAGTATTTAATAATAAACCAATTCGGCTGTTATTTCGTTGGATAACAAAAAAATAAACACAGACAGTATTTCTATCAAATGTGATTAACGTTGTGTACCTCTTTATTGAGATTGCGATCTTTCAAATTACTTTTAATAGGAGCTACACAAAATAATGAGATTCATTTACAAGTGTTATTTTGTTGATGATGGACATGTTGTGCCGACTCCATCCAGTGTGGCATAAGGGCAGGAGAAAGAAGAAGATTTACAAGTGTTATTTTATGTAGGCAAAATCTGAAGGGCTACAAATCACGTAAACAATAATTTACCTACTGTTGACAATAATGCGTCATATAAACCTACTCAGAGACACAAACAACGGGTCAAAAGTAGGCGCTTACACCTAGATCTTGTTTACGAGATGTAAAACCAAAATACGGTAGCAATGATCTCTTTCCATCCGTAATGTCACTTAACGCAGGCCAATAAATATACTTAATTGCGCTTTGGAACGTGCTATCCAGAACAAACAACGTTGTTTACATTTTCTCAATCCGACCTTATATAAAACGACGTCTTTAGGTATGAGGCTGTTAAAAACACTTTTATAATTTTCGATACAGCTTCAGATCATAATTGCGTGGAATTTAATTTAAAATTCACATCTTCGTATATTCACAATTGGGATATGTAAGTTAAATTGTACTATTGGGATAAGTGAAATAAATGTGACGACACAACTAATATAAAAACAATGATAATGTCCCAGATTTGTTTCCATCATCCATAATGGAGCTGATTCGATCTTTACTTTACCCAATATTCACAACATTAAAAAAACATAACTAAAGATAAGAACAAATTTGCGATATGTAAACTAGAGACCATTGCAAAATCATTAACGTTTCTCAGGACAAATGATGATATAAAACATGGATAAACAATAAGAGATTATTATTAAAACTTTATAATAAAGCTTAAAAGGTCATACACCGACATACTGCTGCAGTTATTGACAGTGATAAATCCAGTTTAATTTGCTTTAAGGTGACTTATTATACCAGTCTCTTCCTTAATTATATGCCTAATTCGCACAAGCGCATGTAGGTACTGACTTTTTTAATAGTATCAAAAATTGGTGTTATTTTATGATATAAAGAAAAGAAAGCAATCTTTTACTGTGGGTTATATGGTGTAATGGGTTTAGCATTAAGGATCGAAGTCACGGGTCTGTTGCCATCATGATTGGATCCATCATACTATAATACTCTGCTTCTTCATATCAATGATTTCTTGCATAGTAGAGACATGCATAGCAATGCAGAATACAGTACGGGTAACGTCATCAATAGCGTCCGGGCAAATGTTTTTCAGGAATATTAACGCAAAAAAGAAATCCATCGACGTGTTTACTTTTTTTGAGGGCATTATCCTTGTCGACACAGACGAAATTGGAATTATTATATCGAGCATCGTTCAAATTCGCTGTCATTTTGAAGAGAAAGCCAGCCTGGCTTCTAAAAATCTTGATGTCCTTGGTAAAGCATCCCAGCCCATCACATGCAGCTCTACCAAGCGCAGATTCGACCGCACATCGAATACTATTCTCATCTCTGAGCTGGGGCGCCACAATAACAATAAATGCAACGTAGAGTTATTCGAATCTTTATGCGAAGACACCTCTTCGCATAAAGATTAGAGTGAGAGATGAAACACCTCTCATCTCTGCATTTTTATCACATCTATCACATGGAGTACTCTGTGGAGGTATCCGGATTAATACATGCTGCTGAATTTTAACACGACGCGCTAAACTGCCAAATACCACCTCGATGGTTGTCAGTCCACAACCCTGTACCGTATTCTTCACGCATTTTTTTGCTACTCACAGCAAGTTGTGTAGTCGGCCGATGCAACTAACCCCATCTAGTCTATTCTTTATCTCCTTTTCGATAAAGATAAACGTTCGTTGATATCCGGTAAAAGAAATGCGTTGGAACAAATGGGCAGCCAAGACTTTCGCATAGGAAAAGGGTTTGTGATTTATTACGCATTTAGTATGCGTGGAAGCTAGGAAAGCAGGTAGTGCGACTTTAAAAATTACACCAATACTCCTAAAACGAATTGGCAAGATAAATTAATAAAGGTATATATATATATATTTAGATTATTTTCTAGAGCTATTTTAGGATATAAATACAATTTTGGGAGATTAAGTGCAAATTAATTTGTGTTAAACGCTGTCTTCATGTCGGTTATACAACAATAAAGCGCCATGAGCAATTATTGTTGTCGCGATCACAAACGGCGTATGCGCGATATTGCGTCATGAGATGACGTCACAAGGATAATAGCATTCACCTTGACCTTAGGCTAATGTCAGGCGGGCGCAGCGGCTGCGGGCTACGCCGTTGCATAACTGGCTCGCTCTAATCATACGCGCGTTGCACAGGAAATGCAAGTTGCGTTCAACACGCGAGCCGAACGCGAAACGCATAGAATTAGAGCGATTTTTGCGGCAGTGAATTACCGCCTGATCGGGTAATTGTTATCTGTAATCGCGTTAAAGGTGCAAATATCTCGTTTTTAACGACGATTTAATTTAACACGCTATGCCAATATAGCCGACGAATCTGTAAAGAATGTATTTGCTGTCTAATCGATGTTGTATAGTATCGAATCCAATAATGTATTAAGATGCTACTATGTTATTAATTTTAAAAAAAAGATTAAAAAATAATTAAAAAAAAATGTACGTTATACATTAATGCGATTATTTATGAGGACATAACACTACGCCCTTGTCCAAGACTTGCCAAGCTCTCTCAATATTCGAATCGAATAGTGGAATAATTTGATTACATTCGTCTTTCTCGTGTCAGGTTATGTGTAAATAACCATGTCTTATAGATTACGTTTCTAAATTTAGAGTCCTCCGAAGATATGAGCGTTGTTAAATTTAGCAATGAGTGAATTTGATTATGCTATTTACAACGGAATTTTGTGTTCATGGAAGATATGGGTAGGTTTCTGATTAATTATGACATTATTGATATTATTATGTATTTATGAGCGGAAAAGAGTAAATAATTTAAGGAATACTGATAGTATATACAGAATTGTTTTGGGTGATACTCGGCTCAGTTTGAGACGACTGCGTTTTTGCAATACATTATAAGTAAATATGAAATTTTTTAAGTTTTTGCTTATATTAGCGAAATTTTAGCTTTTAAGTGGTTGTACATCTTTACCAAATTGTTTAGTTACGAAGTTGCCGTGTTTATTTTTGCCACGAACAGCTTTATTTAGTGTTATTTTTCTCCTTTGGCCTGCTATTTGTCTCAGTTGACCTTGCACCGCACAATGAGGAAGTCGGTCGCAGATCGTTTATGGTGACTACAATAGATTGCAGTTCATAACAGTTGATACTAAGTGGTCTAAATGCAAGGGCGTAGTTTTTTCCGTTATGCGTTTGCCGGCCTTAAGGCAATTACGATTCTTGTTTACAGACCGATAACTGATGTCTAATAGCTTAACGATATTCGACTACGATGGCTCAGCTACCTTGAAGGCAGGCTAAATTGTCTGTAAAAAGCTTGATGCTAATAGCATAACTAAGATAATATCGAATATGGCTATCACCTTTAAGTGAATTGATGGATCACTGACGGATTTTTTATTTCACCATATCTAGCTCTTGTTTGTGAATTGTTTTCGATTAGCTTGTTCTTGGACATGAGAAAAAGCGTTGTGTTTCTTTGCTAGAGCTAGTAGTTCACACTCAGTTTCATAGTGATAGTTGATAGTATACAAATCTCAGCAGTTTTCAACTCTTTGTATTGTCCTTTTTTTCAAGTGTCTTGCCGTGAGGATAAATCTGCCGAACTAGAATAAAAGTTATCAGCGATATTTCTATAAGATATACAACCATGAAGAGCTGCATCTCAATGCCGTTTTACTACTAACTAACACGCTTATTATAGAGAAATAGACAACATATTCGTCGTAAGTAAACAACCTAATATAGAATACTGTTTTTATTCTTTGGGCAATCTTTGTATGTTTTTTTTATGTGAGAAGGTGCCTAGTGAGTCGGCGGTTCAGCTGATGTTAAGTGATAACAATGGCCCATGAACATTTGCAACGCCCGTAAAGTTGCAGAGGGCAATGTATCTTATAACAAAGTGGACCTCAGCTACCTCACTCACCAGACGAAACGCAGTCTTTTGGCGAGGTCGTGGTACTCACCATGGCGCCTGCCCATTCGTGCGCAGCCGAACCTTTTGCGTGGCTCTATAACAGCATTGTACCTAACACAGTATGTCCAAGACAAGTGATAAGGTTAAGTAGTAAATCGATCAAAAGAGAATAAGTGCAATATTTAAGTTCTACCTCTGGCTACCCTACTTTTAAACAGGGAACCATAAAAAAATTTAGATGAGATGCTAAAATAAGGCTTTCCATCAAATTCCGGAGAACTTTAAAGGCGGGCGAAAATAGTAAAAACAAGTAGTGTAATTTTGACGCCACAGAAGTGAAAATATTGTACAATTAAAATAATATTAAGCATAAATATCAGTTAACTCTACATAGGATTTGTGCATGCAAAGTAATAAACAAATCGCATTTGGCGATGGCATTGTTTAATTTTTCCTATTTCTTTGTTCTTAAGCTGGAAGGCTTCCAACTAAACATAAAAATGATATATTGACATATTTTCAGAATCATTCTTTTTATTGAGTTGTTTTGTTTTAAAATTTATTGTCCCGTCATTTTTTCTTGTTTTGTATTATTTGTGTTGAGTCCATAAACAAGACGCAATGGGACATGTTATTTACAATCCTCTAGTAATTAAAGTTTTTACTTAAAGATCAAAGGATATTTTTTTATTCAGTGAACGTTTATTCCAACAGCTCATTTTTATTTATGATATTAAGTATTTTGAATCAGATATTCGCCGTGGATACTTTGAACTGTATGACAATAATTACCATAGTTATCAAAGATTATTTTAAAAACAGTGTGTAGAGGAAGTTCTAAGTCAGGCAGCGAGTAATGGCTATGTTCGGTACTTCTCTGCATGATAGAGTTCGCACTTCGCAACGAAGACTTCCACAGTATTACAAAAGTAATCGACATAGTTCAAAAGACTACCAAGCTGAATTGGCGATGGGCCGGCCATATAGCTCGTGGAACCAATAACCGACGGGGAAGAAAAGTTCCTGAGTGGCAGCCTCGTACTGGCCATCGCACATTAAACTTTACGTTACTGTTGATTTCGTTTGCGTAGATCTTCGTTTTTTTATCAGCTTAGTTTTCACTGCTGGCATGAAATTTAAATAAACAATTGATTATTGTAAAGTGTACAAGAACTTGAAGACTCCGTGGCACAGTTGCCAAGGTATTGGCTTCGGCGTCGGGGGTCGTGGTTTCGATTCCCACACGGGACAACTATTTGTGTGACCCACAGGTAGTTGTTTCGCATCTGGGTGTTTGTCTGCGTGAAAGTTATGTTTGTAAAACATCCCTACAACACAGGATAATGTTATCCTAAAGTAAGGGCAATGTTTTTTACTAAAAAAAAACAAGAAAAAAAAATTTCCGCTATAAAAAGGAGCATCATGTCATTCCGACATTCTGCTGAAGGAAAATGGCTTCCTCATTTCTAATATTAATTGACTTACATGTAAATAATGAGTTCAAATAAAATGTTACAATTCCATATATTTTTATGTGCTTGCTATATTAAGCTGTGTATAGCTTGAATAACAGTTCCCGCTTTGTGAGGAAGTACCGCTACCTCACAGTAATCTCTATCCTGTCTATACTACATCTATATATTATTTCTTAAGGGTTTTTTGTCGGTATTCCATAAACTCTATAATATTCATGAAATTTAATTATTCCAACACCATTTTAAAGATTAAGTGCTTCAATTTTCCGCTATTGATGAAAAATAAAATGACGAAGAATAAAGTTAATGTTTAAAAAAAAACTTTAATTTTTGTTCGATCTATTGACAGTTTGTTTAAATGAATAGCGACTGTATTCTTCAAAAGAAGATACGTTTCATTGATAAAAACTTATAGTTATACAATTATATGTATAATATATTCATACATATATATGTATATATATATCTCTCTCTTCTTGCTCGGTTCCTCAATACTGAGGATCGTGACCACATGATGTTCTCCTCCACTGCGTGCGGTCGTAGGCGGTGTGAACCGCGCGTTGCATGCTGCCACCCACCGCGTTCTTCCATCTTGTCGGTGCCTTGCCTTGAGCATGTGAAAGAGTTCCCAAACACTCTGTGGTTGGCAAAAAGCCTGCCTGGACCACTTGAGCAGGTTGCCACCCCTTTCTAGTTCAAATAATTATACGCACCGAAAAAATGTTTTCGAATTATGTTCCATTGACATCTACAATGATAAAATGTCCTCCTTACACTCTTTATTCTTCTTGTCCAGATGAAATTTTTCATATTACAGCGCACCAGCAGTTTTTGCCGCGGAACTCATCCGACTCGTAATTTAGTCGGACACTAAGTGCTAGTAGCTTGACTGCATTTTCTCGCCTGTAAATTGCAACAGTAACAGCTATTAACTGCCTTATGACAAGCGCGACGACATTCATGTTCATTACTGTCAGAGATTATGTCATTCTGTTGACATTAACCCCCAGTTGCAGGTTTTGCAGACTGGGCTTTAGCGATGATCGTCTCTATATGAGAATAAATGTCCATTTAAATCGCTTGCCAATTAACGCTGCTGTTCTTATCGGTTCTAGCAGTTTGTAACGTTCACTTAAAAAAGAATTACACTTTCGCATATACATTGTTAGTAGAATTTTCAATAACTATGTAACGTCCATTTTAAATATCGAATAACATCCGTTAAGTTATCATGGAGTTATAATAACCACTTAGGTGTACCTGATAAAAACCGCGCATTTTTTCTTAGAGATAAAATTGACCATTTCATTCCATCCATTATCTACTATAGATTAATCCTATGAAGGAATCATATAGTCTGATGGAATGACAAGCGAAAAAGAAAAATATTATATTTATAAGAAATTATTAACCATGTCTAACGCGATAAAATCGAATACGACGAAAGTAGTAGTCGTATTAAGAAAAATTCTTCAAACTCTTAACGCGTGGTTATATACGTGTGGTGCAATAGAAATTGATGGAGATAAAAGGAATAACGTAATGAAAATGTAACTAATGATACCATTTTTAAGAACTAAAAATACCTCTAAATGTTTAATACTATTCAGGCTTACCGATACCTTCAGAAGCTCAGGCACTATATCATTTGCTTCGTGATATCACAATTTGTAACAATTACGTAGCAAGAGATAAAGGTGAATTATATCTTTAGAAAACTGCCCTTATCTGCTGTATTACGAAACAAAAATGTGCTTCTGTAAGAATTAATGTAGGTGTTTCATAGGAATAGATAAATAATCAACATAATTTTTCTTTATCAGCTGTTAGGCCACCACGTAGGTAGTG